CCAGCTGGTAGCATCACAGACAGTATTGTGAGGGACCTGGAAGGCCAGCATCCATGAACTGAAGCATCTAAACAGCGCTCTCAGGTCTGACCTCATCTCTTTCATCTCTGTTGAGTTCTGCGATCTTCCCCATCCCCAGGGTACCGTGGTCCTCTGGTTTATCTGTTGTCTAATCCTGTGGACTTCCTAGGATTTCTTTTTGGTAAAAGTAATTTTCTGACCCCAGGTTTGGTACATGTTATCACTACTTTGTGAATAAATAAATGAGTGATCTCTGGTAAACAACCGCAGTTGTAGAATTATGTTGTATGTAATAATGTACATACGGAGAGTGTATTTTGTTCCTTTTATTAATAAAAAGTTATATATGAACATGTGTTTGTCAAAATTACTTCGAAACTTAAAAAAAAATCTCATGGGGGGGAGTCGGTAGAATGTTTGCCTAGCATGCAGGAAGTTTTAGATTTGTTCCCCACTCATAAACTACAGGGTGTGGTGCACATGTCTATAATCTCAGTGTATAGAAGGTGAGCAGGATAAGGAACTCAAGGTCATCCTTATCTACATAGAGATTCTGAGGCTAAGCTTGGTTACATGATCCCTCAAGTGTGTGATCCCTCAGGCTTTTATCGATGGGACAGTGTTGACCCTGAGACTGTTCAAGTAAAGTACTGGACATGCTCAGAGTTTCTGGGGAAGTTTCCATTTTTGTGAAACACTGACAAATTGTTTCATGGGGAAAAATAATCTGCCTATAATTTATCTTTTTGTGTGTTTGAACTTGTTTCCTGGGTTTTAGTCATACTAGTTTAAAAGTACAAGGAAAACTAGACTGAAACAAAGTTAATTGTAGGAAAAGTAGTAAAGGAAGAGAAGCTACTGCACTCCCTAGTTCAGAAAAGTCTAGGTTTCTGTCTCAGCCATGGAGGAGAATCGTTAAGGGCCAGACCTAAAAAGTACGTTCCGAAATATACCAAGTGGGATGTTAGGGCCAAGGAAGTTCTGGGGGTGGGCTCTAAAGAAAGGTCTCTCCACCTGTCATCTGACAGGGCAGGCTTTATGAGTCTGTATTGTCAGGTATGTAATCAAAGTGGGGCTTAAAATCAGCCTCTTCCTGCATAGCTCTCATTGCTAGGGTGTACTTTAGTATGGCTCAGAAGAAATATTTCTTTGTGTTCTCAAAACAGGAAAACATGAGGTACACTGATAACGTAAGAAATTGCCCTTTCCTTGGTTAATCCTCCTGAGAATTAAAGGGATCAAAACGAGGAACATGTGACACATTTGTCACTGTCTCCCATCAGGAAGATGGGAATAAGCAGAACACATTCAAGATGCCAGCTGCTTCTGTCCAGTGCATTCAGGCCTACAGATCTGAAGTTGCAGCTTTGTGGGCAGTATGGCCACACACTTATACTTTCTCGACTGTGACAGCCAGAGGTTATGGAAGTGGGTGGGGTGAGGGAGTGGAGCACTGGTTGTGTCCACAACAGCGAACAGAAACAGGGTGGCCTTGCTGCAGCATCGCCCTCTGCTCTTCCCTCCAGCTTTATTTCGCTGTACCCTCCTCTGAGGTTTTCGTTTTAGAAGAGTAGAGATGTGAGGCAGCCGAGTGTGATGCTTCAACTTACCCAGCCCTCCCTACAGTGCCTTTGATATCCACAGAAACCGTTCTGTGCACTCAGCCAGGAAAAGAAGGGCAGGCAAATACACCTTTGCCAGAGACACTCAGGGAAGAGGAAAACCAGGGGGAAAGAGATCTGTCCATTATGCTGGAAAGTCCTGATGATTGGCAGAATCCAAGAGAAGAGGATGTTTGGCAGTGTACATACTGTACAAACTGGTACATCCTGTCGGTTTCATTAAGAGGAAGTGCTTGAGAAATGCACCTAAGTAGCCAATCCCATCTTTCTTGTTCCTTTTGGGTTCTGAACAGATGGTTTGGGAAGGAGCTTATAGGTTGGGGAAAAAAAAATCAACTAAGAGGACCTCTAGATTGTTAGGGCAAGGAGCCAGGTCAGCAACTACTCCGGAAGAGAATGGAGGTAGTTTGTGGGCTGTGGTAACTGTGAGTCACCGCTAGAACAGTGTGCCGGAGCAGGGCCATGGTCCTTTGGGAGTTCCTGGCATTTGAATCTTTTCTGTGTCTTTGGCATACTCATGAGGTTAACCTCAAAATACCCTGGCCCTAACTCTGGCCCGCCCCTCTGGGTGTCACTTGCCTACCAGTGCACAAAAGATTAAGAGGAAAAAAAAAATCCATGGTAACTGTGGATATAATCCAGAAATGAAGTTTGTTTTTAGAATTCAAGCACGATGGTGGTATGGAGAAAAGAATCTGGTACTGAAGAGAGAAAAGATGGAGTCAGGACCTAGGCCAAAGAGAAGAAGTCTGTAGTTTAACACATACTGTGGTGAGTTTCTTATAAATGAGGTGAAAATGTCATATGACTGCTGAGGAGGAGGCAGAGGTGGGGCTGATCTGCAGGGCCAACCTTTCCCTGCTTCAAGCTGCTAATCTAGGGTTCTCTTGCCCAGAGAAAATGTAGGTGTTGGTAACTTGGCCAAGGGATGTATCATGTTCACGCCCATTAGCTCCATCCTTCACTGTGTGAGAAGTCAAGCACAATGCCCCTTGTAGTAACTGAGCTGGTGTCTAGCATGCTTGTTTTTATCTCTTGGTGGTGTTTTCACCCCCAAATGGCATCTTTCTTTGGCAGTGATTATTTATCGTAACACTCCAGGCAGAAGTAGAGGGGAGTTGGATAGTGACAAATTTGTAAACAATGCACAGCAAGGAGTGGTCCTCTCAGGCTCTGGCCTTGGAGTCCTCCACGCCTTCCAGCATCTCTTTCCCCCTCTACTGGCAGAATGCAGCAGGTGCTGATAAGAGCGGAGGATGCTGCCCAAATGAGATCCAAGGAGTAGGTCTCAGGTGCGTGGATGAAGATTTTAAGCCAGAGCAAAACACTAGGGCCTGAACCAACTTACACAAAAGCATTTTAATTGATAGTGTACAATTTTCCAAAATATACTTTATAAGAAAATGCAATAGTTAACTGTAGTCTCTTGGTAAATTCCAGTGTACTTTAGACCCCTGTCCACTACAACATACACTCCCCCAATCTCCTGGGCAAGCTGGTTGACATTCACAAAGAAACAGAAAGGCCCCATGAAACAGTGATCCCGGCCAGTGGTGGGTTTTCCTCAGTCCTAAGGGAAGCATCAGATGCCTGACAGTGACACAGGCTGCACTACAGGGCTTCGCCCTCTCTGCCTTCATCTTATACTAGTCCCTTTGATCTTGGGTCTCCCAGATGTTCCTCGGGGACTTTTCAAACTTATTTCCTGACGGGGAAAAAAAAACACCCAAGCCCCCTTGGGGCTTATTTACACCTTGGACCATGTGATTCCAGAGCCCAGCACATGGCTGTTTGTGTCCCTGGTGTCCACTCAGCCCCTCTAGGGTTATCATGAGGAAGGACTGGTGTTATCCTGTATTAACCTTGTACCTGGGAGTTGCAGTCCTTAATTCCCTGTTCTTAAGAAACACACAGCACAGGATGGGCAGTCTGAGATGCATGTTTTCATCTTGTCTCTGTCCCTGGGGAGAGTCTTTGTGGCTTCAGATGTGTTTTCCTGTAGAAAGACTGGACTGTATCTCCAAACCTTTCCCTGTGACCATCACAGACTATGCTCAACCCCAGCCCGTACTACAGCAGGATTGAGAATTGGCTGGGGAGGAGCAAGGACAGTATTTTAAAACTTTAAATCCCCTATCTACAAGGCAAATATAGTCGTCTTGTTATGTTCTTCATTTTTAAAAAAGTCATTTCTACTAAATAGACATTTACAATCTTGTTCAGAAAGGGGTGAGGGGAGGCTTAGCTATGTCTCTTAGCTATCAAATCTTTCCCCAAAGTTTACTCTCTGAAACTAGTACAGGGTAAATTAACATGTGGCTCTTTTATTTACATTGTCAAAAACATGCATAGATCTTGTCAACTTGAACTTTCTCTTCAAAGTTTCACCAGTGTATTGTCCAAAAAAAAGGGGGGGGGCAAAAAAACCAATAAAACTCAAACACCTGCTGGCTTTCTCTATCAGGGAAGACAGAAAGTGTGAGTGTCCTAGATGAGTCTGGATCCTGGTCTGCCAGGCAGACTCTCAGTGCCCTATGTCAGCTGCCGTGCATATGGCAGCACAAGAGCTGCTGGGTTTGTTCAGTCACAGCCATCATCAGGTCCTTGGGGTTTGCAGCTGAGGAAAACCATTTTGCCACTGAAATGAAGTGTTCTGATTTCTCTTTGGTACAGCTGGTTCTAAAAAGTTCCCCTTAACAGACAGCTCTAAAAAACCCAGTAATAAATGACTATTACAGATGCTAGCAGCATGTCTTGTTGGACAGATGTCCCAGTGGTAAGAGTAATCGAAGGCCAGGTATCGGATTCTCAAGCTGTACTAAACGGCTACACAATTTGAGTGCACAAGAAGAAACACTGGGCCAGCCTGGGCAGAGCCATGGCTATCCCTCCAGCCCAGACACAATATCTGTTGTCTAATATTGCAGTCATATCTGACAGGCTGTCGAGTTGCAATCTGTGACCAGTCGGCAGAAAGAGCATTTGCCGTCTGTCAAATGACCTTGCCCCATTGACTGTAGCAAAGGAGAAGAAATCCTGTCTGCCTCTCAGGCCATGACAGAATAAACCCACTGGGCGACCGAGCCTAATGCAGGGACAAACAGACCTGAATTCCCCCCCACACCCTCAGTTGGCACTGCTCCCCACTCTCCCCTGCAAATCTGAGAGAAGCAAGCCAAAAGGCTTGTGAGTTCTTGTTAGCATTTTCTCAAGCTCCTGTGAAACTCACTGCAAGCCTTCCTTGACTTCTGTCAGCCTTTTCTTCCTAGCCTGTGTCTCAGAGAGACAGCTGTAAAGATGAGATTAGACGGAGGACACCTGTCTGTGCCCCCCCCCCCCGCCTCCACCTCCCCTTTTAAATAAGCTGCTCCAAACCAGACAGTTAGTCATGGGAATTTATGACCAAGAACAATACAAACCATGGACCTAATTCAAAGCTCCACACAGGGTTCCCCTGCCCCTTTCTCAGAAAACTAGATAAAACATCACTATGCTGGGCCCTTGACAGCCTTTTACAAGACTACTTGACACTGCTGAGCCTGTAAATCCTGTGTTAGGTACTAGGCATGGTTTTATGTTTCCCTGAGAGTCCACCAAAAAAAAATGGGACAGCTGGATTGCTTCAAAGAACACCAGAAACAAAAAGCCTGGCTCTATGTTGGAAGAATAGGCAATGATATCTTAAAACTGCATGTTCTTGGCTTTTCTCCATGACAAAGGAAGGTGCAAACCAATGGAATCAGCTAACAGTCTCCAGGATCTGAGCTCCAGCCTTTGGCAGTGAGGAGCTGGATTAAACACACACACACACACACACACACACACACACACACACACACACACACACATAACATACCATAATACAACAACCCAAGTCCTCAGTAACTTGAAAAGTCCCTGAGCTTCCTGTGGAACAGTAATGCCTGGTAGGTTAGATTGATTGTCTACTGAGACACATTTGCCAATCACGGACCAGTCGGGAGGGACCCCAGGACATGTCTGTCCCTAGACAACTGCTCTGTGACACGCAGTTTTGAGGAGTCACCCCCTCAGCTGAGCGGTGAACAACGAAAAAGGAACATCTTGCTTTCAGTAGCTACTGTAGACTTGTTCCTAGTGGGAGCAGAAAGCCAGAGGAGATTTGGGGGAGTATCTTCTAGGGAGTGCCTTGAATGGTAGGCCAGTGTCAGTCAGTACAGAATCAGCTGCCATGAGGAAGCCATCTGAGCATTAGCTTCCTTTCTCTCTGCCTGCCCACCCACCCCTTAGGCAGACTCCATTAGACAGTGAGGCCTGTGAGTTAGGGCCCAGTCCCACTAAGCAAAGGCAAGGAAATCAGAATGTAGACCAAGAGGTCCAAAGCCATGCCCTGGGAAATAACGGGACTAAAGACTAACTCATGAGAGGCGGGATACAACAAGCTAGCAGAGGCCATATTATAGGAGATGGAAATGTGGGACCTGTCCTTGAGACCAGACCATAGAGGCTTGTTTTTTTTTTTTCCAGCCTGCCCACTTACAACTGTCTTATGCCTTGGGGAAGGGGCACAGATGAACACAGTAGTGTGTCTTGATGCAATTAAGCACCAGACTGAGGAAAACAACCTTTGTCATCACCAAATGGCTGTGTGGCCCTGTGCAAGTCACCTGACCTCTTAAGGCCTCAGCCATCTTACTTAGGAGATGAGAGGGTGCCATTCCTAGAGGAGTTCCCGAGCCTTTCGCATGGCGTTCTTCATCTTCCTCCTGCCTTCCAGTGGCTCTGGGCTCAGGCACAAGTAGGTTATTTTACATGAGGGAACTGAACAGAATGTGACTTCATTGAACTTGAAAGGGAAAATTAAGGCCCTGTGGGGATGGGAAGGAGGGAGACAACCCTCAGAGTCCATTTTCCCTCCCCAGTCTTTCTGTCTTCAGGTGGGAAGTCCCGCCCCCCTTGTCCAAATGGCACTTTGGGTGGTCTGGAGCTCTGCAGTGTAATCGGGGTGCCTGGCAGACTGATCAGAGGTGTGTGTCTTCCTCCTCATCTAGGTCATCCTTGGTCAAGTTGTCCAGAGGGACAATCCAACTGTCCCCCAGCTCCCCATTGAGGTTGACCACCTTCTTCTCCTGCATCTCAGAAGGAGTCTCCATCACTTCCAAGGTTGGGTTGTCATGGTAACCATTCTCTACTGTCTGCAGCTCCTCTGTGAGTCGTTGCTAAAGTAGGGACAATAACACCAGGAAGAAGGCAATTTTAGAGTACTGTGAGCTTTAATATGAAACATATTTCCCCATTCAACCCAGGGACCTCAAGTTAGCTAGATTAAATTCTGGAGGTTCACTTGTGGAGGCAGAGACCACCCTGGCTACCAGCCTGACTACTTCATGAGTACCCCCTCAAATCCTAAAATTGCCAGCTGCTCTGTACCTTCATTCCAGTGGCAATCTGTGACATCATGGACAAGGATTTCTGAAGACATTTTGTCCTTAAGTTCTTTTTTTTCTTCTCCATCCTTCCCCATAAAACCTCTGTTTTTCTACCTCATTCCATAATAAGTAACAGAGAAGACCAAGAAAAAAAGGGGGGGCCTTCAGACCCGCTTGACAGGACTTTTCAAATGGTCAAGGTAAACAGGGTGGTCCCTATGGACGTCCAGGCAGTAGTTTGTGCTCTGAGATCTGGCTGTGGATACACATTGCCATCACTCATGCCTCAGTCCGTGTACAAGGTCACTAGGAGTGGGAACTGTCTTAATGCTCTCAGTAGTTTGCAGCTAGGGTGCAGACCCACAGCAGAACAGCACTGTAAAGATGAGACAGGGTCCTGCTGTGTAGCCCAGGCTGACCTCAAACTTGTGATCCTCCTGCCTCAGCTTCTCAAGGGCTGCCATTACAGATGATGGTGTGATTCTAGTAGGTTGGGTGAAAGAAGCTTTGGTTAGAGGACCATTTGCCTAAGGCCACATAGGATATATTTAGGGATCATATCCCTAAATCTCCAGAACAGTTCTGCAAGGTACCATGCCCACTATGCAGATGACAAGGCTGCAGACTTATGACCGACTTACAGACATGGACAGAGCCAGGGCTTAAACCCAGTGTTTCTGTTCTTGTTTCCACACTGTGTTTCCAGTGTTAGAGACAAGCTAGCTTGATAATGGGGACAAGAGCCTGTTCAAAGGGTCCAGGCCCACTCATGTGGACAGGCCGAGTGAGAGGCACACTGGGTTACTGGGCTACCTAGAATAAGAAAATACCCACCTGGTCCTTCCTCTGGGAGATCCGCTGGTGACAGCAGCCGTAGAGGGCAGCGACGAGGAGCAGGAAGGATGCCATGCAGACTATGGTGATGATGAGTGGCAGGCTGAAGCGGTCCTCATTGACTTCTGGAGGTCCTTCCTTCCCCAGCTTCATGTCACTGACTCCGGCCTGGCCGAGACACAGAACTTAAGTGGCAGAAAACAGAGTCCAGACCTCTTGTCTCCACTCCAGTCAAATGGGAGCTCTTCTGGGTGGGTCTGCTGCCCCTATCCTACTACCCGCCCTGTCCACTTGTGTGTGCCTCTCCTGCAGGTTTACACTATCCAAGGACCTTCTAACCAGAGGACAGTACAGGGCAGAGCTTCTTACCTCCGTCAGGTCATCCCATTTGTCCTTCAGAAGCTCATACACATCCTTAGGAGAAAGCTTTGCTGTGGGAGAGACAGAGACCAGCCCAGAGTGAAATGGCAGGGGTAGAGTGGGTACCCGAGAGGAGGGTATCCTGTATCTGTCCCAGTCCCTCGGGTCCCCTGGGATGGTTGCTGGCATGTATATGCTTAGGTGCCTCCACCCCCAACCATCCTTCTGTGGCACTCTGCCCCCACAGGCTTGGGTCCCCTCACCCTCGACTCACTCTCAATAGTGATCCTCTTTACTGCCACCGCCTGGGTCTCTCGAATAGGGGCCAGCTGTAGAGCACACAAATCCTGAGCTGGCTTGAAGGAGGCTTTGACTGAGTGACATAGCAGTTCCACGAGTCTTTCATCAGGAGGGCTCCCTTCCTAGTGTACAGAGAGCACAGGTGATTCTCAGGCTTTGCCACAACAGCTTGGGCTTGTGAGACTGCCCCCTGCCCGCTCAGCCTGCCGGAGTCTCTTCTCCATACCTCACTAGTGCCACTCCTAGATCACCAGGGATTAAGTTTGCATTTTTCTCACAGGCTAATCCTTATCCTCTCAGTCTTATTCCAAGTTCTTTTCCCATCTCCTCAACCTAAAGATCTTGTCTGCATGTCACCCCCCAACCCCAGGCTTCCCCTGTCCTCCCAGCAAGGTCCCTGAGGCTCTGGAACCAGTGGCTGCATTATCATGCCTCAGCTGGGAGTGGGTAAAAACAGAGTACAGCACTCCTCCATTGCCAGAGGAGAGAGGCAATCCAGGGATTGGAACCTGCCATTCTCCAGCCTCTTTCGCCACCTCAGACTGAGAGGGAAAGTGAGGCACGCTGAATGGGCAGAAGGGGACTCTGGGGTATGTCCACAGGGTTACTTACACAGACCTAAGCCCAGAAACAGGGCTTTAGGGCTGAGGCTGAGGCGTAAGCTATGGGCTTTTACTCGGTACTGCCAGTGCAGGGATCACTCACTAATGTTTCCCTCCCTGATTCTGGATGAGGGGCTGAGATTGAAAACATGAGCTCCTGACCCCAGCATCCTTTAGGTCTCCCACACACCCCCTACATTTCCCATGTGCCGTTTCCTTCAGCCCAGCAGCACTTTACTCCGTCACCAAGAGAGGATCCAGCACTTTCCATCTTCCTTTTCTAAGAAAAGGGAAGACCGCTTCCCACTAACAAAACAGCCGATGGACTTCAACCTAAAACATCATCTTGGGAGCAATTTCCTGCCTTCTCGCCAAAGCTCAATCCCAGAACAACATTGCTTCCTCTAAACCTCTGATGGCTAAGTTCATGCTTCTGTAGTTCACTCAGTGAGTTACAGCAAAATAAAACCCCTGGAAGAAAATAATAGCAGAACCCAAAGTCTCCAACCTAGTGGGAAACCAAGCCCTCTTCTATTCCTAGAAGTGACTGCAAAAATGGCAGTGGCCAGTAGAGGGCAGCAACAAATCAGCCACCTCCTGCACCAAGGAGGTCAATGGCCATGCACTGTGCAGCCCCACCAAGCCCTTGGTCCCAGAACACTGGTGGTATGAATGGAGCCATATACATTTCTATACCCTCTTATATGGAACTAGGCAGAGGATCAGGAACTATGACTTCACTGTCGTAACTCTTTTCTGAGAGTGAACTGGGGATCTCGAGCGCTAGTCAAAAGCTCTCTCTAGCACTCCTGTTACTTTTAATGAGAAAGTCTCATTAAGTTGCCAGGGCTAGCCTCAAACACACTCTGTGGACTTCAGTCCTCCTGCCTCAACGTTCTAAGTAGCTGGAACTAGAGGCCTGAGCCACACAACCCGCCAAAACCTACCAATACTTCACACACACACACACACACACACACACACACACACACACACACACACAGCCACCAAACTGCAACCAGACCAACCAGAGCAGTAAAAGGTGACGGGCTGCATAGGGTCTGCGGATGTTCTGCGCATGCTCTGCACATGCTCTGCGGGAGCTCTGCGCATGCTCTGCACATGCCCTGGGCCTGGAGTAAGCTGGTGTGCTGACTTAGAGAAGACGGAAGTGTGTATGGAAAAAGTCTACTCCCTTTAAGGAGCTCATGGACCGGGCGGGATGTAGGATGAATTGGGGTTCAGGAATGTGTACTCACGCAAAGGCGAGCGCTCGTGAGGTTCAGTATGAGGAGTTCCTCGTCTGGCATTATGGGAGGATCACATTTGAGCTGGAAGAAGTTAAAAGATGAAGGGTTAGGCACAAAGTCACGTGATCTTGGATTCTCCCCTGGGTGAAGGTGGGTGGCACGGGGGAGGGGCACATGTACCTGGCTGTCCAGCTGTTTCAGAACAGAGGAACCGGGAAAACAAGACAACTTTTCCTTAAAGCACCCTGCCAGGGCCCCTGAGAAGGCCAAAGGAAAAGACTTCCCTTGGGTTTGGGCTTTTTCATCCCGTCCTCTGCTAGAATTACCTTGTAATTCCCAAAGGTCCAGATGGGCAAGGGTGTGCTGGGGCCTTGAGAGGTCATGGTAGTCCAATTAGAGCTGGTGTTTGCGAACCTCTCAGTCGGAACCACGAACTCAGTTACCACTGGAGACTCTGTAGGCTGTGGCGGTGTGGAGACGGGCAATGTCGTGATGCCTGACGTCTGGCTGGTGATGGGCTGAGTGGCTTCAGAGGTGCCCAGCGGTTCTGTAACAGACAAAGCAAAGGCTGAGGAGACCAGCTGTACCTGCCAAGGGAGCACAGTCTTTTCTGGCTTCATGATTCTCACAAGCGGAAACCAGTAGTTATGAAGAGGAAAAAGAGGCAGGAATGAGGAAGTGGGGTCCTGGGCCATGGGACAGAATGAGTTAGACTTGGATGAACTAAGAGCTAAGCAGGAGTCCCAGAAACAATGTTGCAGTTACCTCTGAGGCACGGGTGGGGCCTGTGGAAGGTGAGCCACAGCTAACACACTGTGCGTGCTTCGTAGGCAGGGCTGTGCTTTGTATGTCAAAGGCACTTGCTCGTTTAGAATGCGCTCTGCTTGTCAACAGGGAAACTTTAACTTGGTGACTTGTTCAAGGTTACAGGGCACAGCTGTGAGAGTGGAGGATTTGAACAGACCTGCTGAGCCTGCGCACCTGCTACAGGGTGTAGCCCTGTCTCTCAGGGCATGGGATCCTGCTCAGAAACCCCGACTCAGGATTTTAAGGTTCCTGAGGCGGCCATAGATCCTGACACTAATTTAAGCACCTAGTTAAGACTGGTATTTTAAAAACTAAGTAAGTAGAACCAGAAACAAGACTGGATGTGATGGTGCGCAGCTTTAATCCCAGCATCTGGGAGGCTGAGGCAGGCAGATCTCTTGTGAGTCTGAAGCCATGCTAGTCTACATAGTGAGTTCCTTCCAAGGCCAGCCAGTTTCAGGAAAGGAAGGAAGGGAAGGACGGAAGGAGGGACGGAGGGAGGGAGGGAGGGAAGAAAGAAAGGAGAGAGAAAGAAAGGGAGACAGAAAACAGCAGTATGCATGGCATACCACAAGTCCTGAAAGAAAGAACAAAAGCTTGCAGGAGTCAGCCACCCTCCTGCTCCATTATATGGGTCCCTGGGCTCCAACTCAGGTCATCAGACTTGGCAGCAAGCGCCACACACTGACTTTTATTTCTTTATTTGTACTTATTTAAAAATGTACTTCTTATGGTGGCTTGCTACCACACAAATCTGAAAAGCACTGTTTTAGAATTTTCTAACACCCTGCTGCCACAACACGGGGCACAAGCCTCGGCATAGATTCTGGACTGGTTGAATTTTTGCACTTCTAGCCTTATCACTGCTAAAAGGGGTATCCAAGGCTAGGTCTGATTAAGGCAGGAGACATGTCGAATGGTTAAAACTCAGCAGACACCATTATCTTCCAACTGAGTGACAGTCTGAGTATGCACTGCCAACTGTCTCTCTCTCTGTCTCTCTCTCTCTGTCTCTGTCTGTCTCTGTCTCTCTCTCTCTTACACACACACACACACACACACACACACACATTTTACCTGCATTTTTGTCTATGGACCAATTGAATGTATGCAATGCCCAAGTAGGCCAGAAGAGGGTGTCAGACGATTACAAATGGTTGTCAATTGCCCTGCGTATGTTGAGAATTGGACCTAGGTCCTCTATAGGAGCAGCCAGCGCTCTTACCAACGGAGCCATTTCTCCAGCCCTTCTCATTTCTTAAGAAAAACAAAAGCAACCTGAATGGCAGGGTGCACATCTTTAATCCCAGTGTTCAGGAGGCAGAGGAAGGTAGATCTCCGACCAAGGCCAACCTTGGTCTACAGAGTGAGTTCCATGACAGCCAGGGCTACACAGTGAAACCCTGTCTCCAAAAACCAAAAGAGAAAAAAGATAAAAAAAAATGAAAGAAAGGAAAGAAGGAAGAAAAGCAAAAACAAACAATGCCAAGAAATGACTTACTGTGTGTAGTAGGCTCCCATGGCAGTGTAGAGTTGTCAGTGCCAGATACAGAGCCAGTGCTGCTAGGAACAGCAGTAGGGGTATGCTGTCCCTCAGGATGGCTCTCTGTGCTCTGCGAAGGAGAAGCCACAGGCTGATGAGGGCTTGCTGTGCTGTCTGTTGTGGGGGTAGAAGGAAGCGTTGAGGAGGTATTCTGGTCAGTAGGCTGAGAAGGGACGTTGGTTAGCCCCGGAGTGGTCAGTGGGGCTACGGTAATACTGACAGTGCTCTTGCCTCCAGAGGAGACTGTCTGTCCACTGCTACTAGTCGGGGCAGTGTTACTGGGGGAGCTTGTTTTAGTCTTGTCATCCTCGGAGCCACTGGAAATTGTAGTTGGACTGCCACTGTTTTGATTGTCCCTGGAGTGTGTTGGGGAGGTTGGAATAGATGTCGGAGTTTGGACTGAGGTTTTGGATGATATAGGGTTGCTTTGCTGAACTGGAGAAAGTGTAGTTGCCACTGGGTCACCAATTGTGACTTTTTGGGGCGCTGTTTTAGTCACTGCTGTTGAGGTGTCTTGATGGGTCTGGACAGTGGTAGATTTGATAGCAGATGTGCTAGCCTCACTTCCTGTTGATAAAGACAACAAGCCAGGTATTAGCCAGAGTGTTTGTGGACTTCTCTAGCTCATCCCCACTACCTCCCACCCATCTCTGGCATTTGCCTTGCTGAAGCCTGTATCCTAAATGAGTCTACAGTTACACAGCCCCTCAAGTCTGCCCTGCCCTGGGGCTCTGCTGTCCCACGCCCACCACACACACACACCCAGCTCCCAGATACCTTCCAAAACATTACAGTAAGTACTGACAAGAGCCACATAGCCTTTCTCAGGATGATACAGCCGACAAGGGCAAATGGATGACAGACTGCAGTTACACAAATGTTCACAAGGACCCTCTGTGGACTATGATAGGGAAAAGCAGTGTGCTTGGGCTGGGTTTAGCTTGGTGGCTTAACCTAAGTGGGCAACGGGTCAAGTAAGAGAGGCTTTTTATTGGTTTAAAAGAATGTGTGTTGAGGGCACTGCTACAAGACAGGACCTTATGTGGACTTATGTGGCACAAGACCCAGAACTTACAGCTCTCGGGAGATGACATGAAGACAGGACAACTGTTTTTTGTAACAACAAAACAACCTGCATTTCTTACTGTGGTAAGACACCTTGACCACAAGCAACTCCGTGGATAAAACTGGGTTTGTTACGGATACAGAAGGGGTCCTGGTCCATTATACCAGGAAGTTAAAGTAAGAACTTAAAGCATCATAACCAGTCACAAGCAAGGAGAGTAACCATGGGGTCTCTGCTTGCTCGGCTACTATTCTGCTCTCTTAAACTGTTTACATCCCCTATCTGGAGGAGGATACCACGATGGGCAGGGTCTTCCTACATCAATTAACAATCAGGATAATCTTCCATAGACATGCCCACCAGGCCAACTTAATATAGATAAGTAATTTACTCCATTAATACTCTCTTCCCAGATGGTGCCAGGTTGTATCAAGTTGGCAGTTACAATAACCAACATAACTCAGCCCTTGTCAACGTGACACACAAATTCATCACTTTAAGTCATTAACAGCAGCAGCCCCCTACTGATCATTAAGCTAAGAGGAATGCTATGTGAACAAGAAGTAGCTCCAACAGAGAAAGACAGAATAAAATGTGAAGGTCTCAAGTCCGGGGAAAGGGACTAAGGGGAGACACGGATGTCTGCATGGAGCTTGGAGAGCGGGGGAGGGGCAGCTGAGACTGGAGGCCTTAGAGCTGTCCAAACTGAACAGCTCTGAGAATAGAACGAGGTTCTCTTAAAAGTATATCCTAGCCCAGGTGTGCTTGGGAGGCAAAAGCAGGTGAATCTCGATAAACTCCAGGCCAGGCTGGTCTGCATAGTTCAGGAAGAGCCAGAGCAACATAGTGAGACCCCATCTCAAAAAAAAAAAAGAAAAAAAAAAGAAAAATTACATAATACATATATATGTACACATATACATATATACATATATAAATATTTATATATAAATATATAATATATACATTAAAGGAGATATATAGATATAGATATCCTAGATCAAATGATACCTAAGTTCAGAGGTCAAAATAAGGTCTTGAATCTTATTTACATGTAAAGGAGGAAAAACTATTGCACGGGGTGAGAAACCCATGCTTTCACCTTTATAGAATGTGATCTAAAGGGAGAAAGCCTACAGATAGGACCCGTAGGGTGTCTATCAGTCACCCAGGGGAAGGGCTGCTGGCTAGAGGTGGAGGGCTAGACATTAGAGACAAGCAGAGGTTGGATTCAGGACTGTATTTGATCAGGTCAGTGTGGAGAAGGAGGAAAATCAGAGACTGTGAGAGGGTGCTGGTGATTCCTGATTTTCTCCTTCAGCAGTAGGGAGGCTGTGCGGTGAAGGGGGTGCTGTGGTCAGCTACGTTTCTGTGTGGACAAGCTCTCACCCCATGAGACTGGCCAGACACAGATTGAAATTGCTGTGCATTAGTTTGTCCTGTATTCCCTGGATCCACAAGCAGGTGTCAGTTGCCCGGGACATGCATCTAGTCAGGAAGGGAAGAAATTATAATGGCAGCAGTAGGAGACTGTGTGCAAGCACAAACGGTCCTGACAGGTGACGCTAGTGAGCGCCCAGTGCTCTGTGGGGCATCTTGAACCACAGCCTGAAGAGGGGATGTGTTTCTCCATAACAGGCAAGATCCCAGTCTCTTTCGTACATGGTGTGGCACCATCAAGCCTTACGGGAGCCAACGGCAGCCAAAAATCTATCAAGGAGACAGTATTCTGGTTCATGAAGTGGCATTTCTGGGATTGACTGCTATCTATGACTGAAGGGCACACATAATAGAATGTCTTTTTTTTTTTTTTAATCAATCTACCCAGATGTAGTGGTGCGTATCTCTTGTCCTGCTACACAGTGAGTTCAGGGAGTCTGAACCACTTGAGATCCTGTTTCAACTCTCTCCTGCCACACACAAACAGATCTAGAGCCATGTTGCAGGGGCAAAGGGCAGGGGCGAGATGGCATGTGCATGTGATCATGCATCTGCATGTACATGTATGTTAGTGTGTGCAGTACATGTGAGTGCATGTGGAAACTGACAACCTTGGGCATCGTTCCTCGGGACCCATCCACCTTTTTTGGGACAAGGTCTCTCACTGGCCTGGAATTCACTGGTTAGACTAGGCTGGCCAGTGTGCCGAGAGGTGGGGTAAAGAGGCAGGTTGTTCCCACTGTCCCAGCCCTGACTTATAAGCAAGGTTGTGGGGATTGAACATCAGTTTCTCATGTTTGCCTGTTATCACTGAAGGACATCTTCCTGACCCTCTAGGTGCTGTACTTTGATTGGGGATTTCCCAACTGATTACATCATAATTTCTTGTCTCCCTGATATGGCTAAGTGTCAGCATCAGTGGAATTTAAGAGATACAGAGGCAGACAGTAACTCTGTGGTGAGTTGAATAAGGATGACCCCCATAGGCTCATATATTTGAATGCTTAGTCATCAGGGAGTGACACAATTTTAGAAAAGAATTAGGAGGTGTGGCCTCATTGGAGTGCATGTGGCCTTGTTGGAGAAAGTGTGTCACTGAAGGTGGGCTTTAGGGTTTAAAAGCCCATGCCAGTTCTTGTCTATGTCTGCCTGTCTGTCTGTCTGTCTATCTACCTACCTATCTATCTACCTATCTATCTCTATCTATCTCTATCTCTGCTTTTGGGTCAGGATATTGTTCTCAGCTACTGCTCTAGCACCACATCTGTATGTCTGCATGTCTGTATGTCTCTCTGCCATGATGACAGTGGACTAACCTCTAAAACCGTAAGAAAGCACCTCATTAAATGCTTTCTTTTTATAAGAGTTACCATGACCAGCCGGGTGGTAGGTAGAACACACCTTTAATTCTAGCACTCAGGAGGCTGAGGCAGATCTCTGAGTTCAAGCTCCGTATGCATAGTGCATTCTAGGACAGACAAAGCTACACAGAGAAACCCTGTCGGGGGAGAAAAAAAAATAGAAGAGTTGCCATGGTCATGGTATCTCCTCATAACAATAGAATGGTGATTAAGACAGGTTTCTTACAGTGGTGAACAGAGGAAAACAGCTTCCTAATCTGGAGCTGTGGACATTTTGAGCTGGAATCTTCTCTGTTGTAGGCAGTTGCCCTGTGCAGTAGAGTGTTCTAGCAACATCTCCGTCCACTAGATATAAGTAACAGACACACACATCCGCCTCCAGAATGCCCCTGATACTGCCATATACCCTTTAAAGGCATCAGTGACTCCCCAGTAAAAACCAACTAACGTGAGAGAGGACCAAATTCATTCCATAAAGTCCCAACCAGCACAGAATAGAAACCACAGGTCTTCTAAGACCAAAGGAATTTCTCTTTGGCAGCTGAAAGGCTGAGACAGATGAAAGACAAAAGACTGTTTCTGGGGGTTGCCAGATCCCAGACTTAGTTTAATTGATCACCTCATTAGGTCTCTAGTAATAGAAATGGACCTTGACACATGGGGATACATACAAATGAGCCAAACTACCCATAAGCCTCCATCTCTGATGGCATTCCCTTGTCAGTAGTTAGCCATGTTTCTATTTGGTAAATCCTATCTTGCTTAGGACTCCCAAAAATTCTAGCTCTCAAAACACAAAAATAACTTTTGCATCAGGATAAATTTATCCATGTAGGTACACAATCAGAGATCCGGCACTCCATACGCTGGCTCAAGGTACTCAGCTTTGGATAGCTTGTTATAGAAAGACAAAACTGGGTGGATGATTACATTGTCAGAATGTTCAATAGTGGTGCAAGAAGAAATCCAAAGTCTTGGAGAGAGATGCTAGTGTTAATCAAGAGGGGGCTAGAGATGCCGAGCAGGCACAAGGACCTGACTTCGGATTTCTAGAATCCTGGGAAGGCTGGCTTCAGTATCATGTGTCTGTAATCACAGCATCCCTGCAGTGAGATGAGAGGTGGGAGAGACTGCAAGGTAAGGAACTACCCCTGAGGTTGTACACACACACGTACACACACACACACACACACCATAAACAAAGATTCTTTTAAAGTATCAGCTTGACCCCCAGCACCATGCACAGGCAGTGACGAGCACTATCGTGTTTGCCCTGTCCACGTGTACTCTAACTTGGTTCCCTTAGCTCACATAACACTGACAACTCCTGACAGGGCTTTCAGCAACACTTACCACATGTTCTAAGATGTATTTCTCAATATGTCTCTCTAATGAACACATGTTATAAATACCTGTTGATTGTGTTTTCAGAGTTGTTTGGTTGGTTGGTTTTTTTTGTTTTGTTTTGTTTTTGTTTTTTGAGTGGTTTATAAAATAGCTATTCTTTCTTTTTCTGACTTTCTATTTTTCTTTTTTTTTTTTTTGGTTTTTCGAGACAGGGTTTCTCTGTGTAGTTCTGGCTGTCCTGGAACTCACTCTGTAGACCAGGCTGGCCTCAAACTCAGAAATCCGCCTGCCTCTGCCTCCCAAGTGCTGGGATTAAAGGCGTGCGCCACCACCGCCCGGCGACTTTCTATTTT